CTGTATGGTTCGACGGAGTACATGGGTGCCCGGGAGGTGGGTGAGAGTGCGAGCGGCGCGCAGCAGCTGCATGATGGTGGAGGATAACGTTCAGTTCTGAAGTGTTACATGTCACGCGTCACACCTTTGACGTGTGATCGGCTTCCAAACTCCGCTACGAGATCGGCCAATTCACAAAATTCTGAAGAGACAGATCTCTTTGCAGACAGTTAAAGTGTCAGTCTACACTGTTTTCTGCTGAAAATGCACGAATCTCACCCCTACAAAGGTGATTGGTAATAAGCAAATACCCTGATCGGACCCCCGTGGTAACAACAGGACTAATTCGAAGTCGCCTGCACCGGGTTTGCTGCAATGGGTGTGTATCGATCTCACGCCGACTGTCTCCGCGGCATGGCCACGAGGAACGAGGCGACTTTGCGAAGGCCGGAGATCTTCTAATGAAGGCAAGGCCGTTGTACTACGAGCATTGTCAGCTAGACTCGTAACCAGTCTGCCTACGAGTGGCAAAAATGTGGCAAGCACTTTGCCGTAGGCAGACTGGTACCATTCGGAGCTGTCAATTGAGACGGCCTGAGTTTGAAATTTTTAGGCGGTGCCAATCACGGCATCACGGTGGCTGAGCTGTTCCATCAATTTCGATGCAACTTCAGGTCCATTGCACGGACCGCCTAGGGCTGCCACTCATGCCCGTGATGGCAACGGCCGTCGATTCGACGGGTCTCCGATGGGCACGGCCCGTCACTGCACGGCCCGTTGAGACCACTTCCAGATGTCTGACGGGACGGCACGGTCGACGGCACGGCCGTGAACGGTATCACGGCTATTAACGGCCGAAAAAAATGCCCTTAGAGCATACGAACAGCTACTTTGAACCTGTGGCGACCTCCATGGTTACCCTAAGATCTCTTGCACCGCGCTGCGAGTGAGGCGCAGACACTGTTTGACTAACATCAATATTCTGATGGTCTCGGGCTTAAGACTGGCACATCGCAGCGAGATCATGTCACGGCCGCCAGAAAAAATGTGCTCAACCGCAACAGTAGACCCTGAAAATAATTAGGCTAGGAGTGGATATTGAATTTATGGACACACCAGGAATTGTGAGGATATCGCGAGCGAGGCAGAACAAATTAGGGAATTGTGCCTTGCACACAACCCACCACATAACAGGATCACAGAGACAGGCCATCCGAACATTCAAGTGGGTCACTTCCATGATTGCGCAGGTCCTCAAAGGAAACTGGGAGATAGATATAGGCAATATACACAGTTATAAGCCGAATAACACGGTGTATTGCGCAAAACAGTCATTCCCAGAGTTTTCTTGCGGGTGCCTGGGCTTAAAGTATTAGGAAATATATGTTAGGGCCATGGAGCAAGGCAGCTAAGGTGGGCAGATGATATTTGCACATGAAAATCCAGGTGGGGTGCACAAGGTGAGCAAGGAATTTCATTGATGCGCTGCAATGCTAGGAACAGCGGTGGTGCTATGAGGTGCGAGCAGGCCAATTTTGAAATTGGCTGAAGTATATAGCAGAGAAAGGGTAGCAGACTGAGCAGAGTAGGGAATGGTGCGTGGATGCGTGTTCAGCGGCGCACACTAACAAGTACAGTGGTGAGCGAGATGGATCCACCATCTAACTGAAGTGATCGCCACCGGCGGAATACTTAATTGATGGCTAGTGATAAGAGATAGCTCGCAGAGGCAGACAAGAGGCAGACAGAAGCATCCGGATCTATTGAATTTATATTTTTAGCACCCATTGGGACCCGTCGACACGGCCGCGACGGCCGTTTTTCGACGGGTAAATACGGGTCCTACCCGTGCCGTGGCCGTGCCGTCGTGGTCGACTGAAAATGGCTGACGGAACGGGCACGGCACCCGTTCGACGGGTGCCGTCGACCCGTGGCGACGGCAACGGGCGGCAGCCCTAGGACCGCCCGCATACCTGCCAAAAAATCTGAGTAGACCGAATTCAACGCAAGTGCAATTGGCTCATACTATCTCTTTGAATCCGGTATAATACATTTGAATTGAGCGCAGGGCGGACGGCATCGAAACTCCGCCCGTCTGGATTGACAGCTCCGAATAGTACCAGTCTGCCTACGGCAAAGTGCTCGCCACATTTTTGCCAGTTGTACGCAGACTGGTTACAAGTCTAATTGTCGGCAGGCGAGAGAGATCGAGCGGCTCGACGCGAAAGTTCAGGCCATGGAAGAGTCGTTGATGGCTTCGGGGCATACACTTCAATGTAACACTTGCGACACTTGCACAACTTCGTGTTCCGGGCGAAGCTCCCAACAGCCAGAACGAGAGATCCGGTGATGAAAGGATTGGGGACGACCGCAGACGCTCGGATCTCATACGATTGTAGCTACTAGCAGCTAGCTAAATGCTAGTCCTGTTGTTACCGCGGGGGTCCGATCAGGGTATCCGCTAGTCCTTTGGTTACCGTGCCTGATAACCAGTATCCTGCGTTATTTTGTAAGCATCTCTTGTGAGAACTCACGTGCCCACGACCAGGGTAATTACCCTGCGTGTAACACGAGCGTTCGATGCAATTTCACGCGTCTACACACGTCAAATGAGTCTATTACATCTTAGACCTGATTTCCTTCCCCACAATAGTCGAAATGCCCACAGCATCCCCCACCCCAGCTTCCGTGCCGTCTCCTGCCGACAAAGGCAGCAGTTCATCGTCTTCGTCGATGTTCTCGTGGCCTCGGATGATAGCGGATGGGGCAGGAAATGATGCCAAGCATGCCTGGTCTGTGCACCGTTGGGTCCAGTGGCCGACTCATTGGTAAGAAAAAAAGTAGCCAAACGGATATATCTGGTGTGTCCGTTGGTCGAGACTCGCAACTGAGTTATGTCGTCAGGATCATCCGGGTCATTCACGGTGAGCGTTCCAATTTGTCTGCTCATCTCCGGGCCTACGAGTTGGAGAACTCAGGTCGACATGGAAGGTCTTGCATAGGCAATCTTCGTCTGAGCAGCAACATCAGGGGGCGAGAAATACAATTTTGCTTCCGGACTAGTATTGGGTGGTCTGCTCTGTGGATGGTGGTAGATCAAATCTATGGTCTTGCCCATTCCTATGTTGGATTCTCTGTTCAAGAAAGAAGTGACCATGCACTTGTGGCTCGGCATGCGTGGATCATTAACGGAAATATCTCTGTGATGAAATAGGACCTCCAGAAGGTGCCCAGAGAACGAAAGTGCTTGGTTATTAGATTAATGATGGTGTAAGCCTTCTCCCATTGCGTCTTTTTCGCTGCCCGTAGCCTTGGCTGGGTAGAGGGAGTGGGCAGTGGAGGCGGTGGAGGCGACGGTTGACGAGGGGGCGGGTGAGCAGGGGTCGCCCGAAGTGCTGGGGAGGCATAGAACGCAAAAGGGTCCAAGGGAGGCATCACACAGGAAATGGCTCGTCGGGGGATCCGATAACGCATCGAAAGATGTCCGCTCGCGTGCTAATTGATCAATTATTTGGTCGTGCATCTCCCATCATTACATAATAAAGCAGGATACCGGGTATCAAGCGCGGTAACTAACAGACTTTATCGAGCGAGGAACGAGCTAGAAACAATATAGCGTCTGTTAAGAGAGACTAGGTATTCGCTTACTACCAATCTTGTCACATCACGGATTCGCGGCGCGAGATTAGACTCACATGAGACGCGACTTTTCATGGGATAGCGGTGCAGATCAACACTAAATACCTGTGCCTCAAGTTCTGCCTCTTCAGATTCTTTCCGAGGGCTACAAACGGATGCAACGAGCACCTTATGTGGCTGAGATTTGTAAGCAGGCCAACATCCCTGCAGTCAATATTCTGCGTCCAGACATCAGAAAAAAAATCTTGAAGGTGTACACTTGACATACAACCTCGTTCCAACCCCTTTTGAATGAAAATTTTGAGATGCAGCCTAGGCTAGCACGAAAGTGAAGAGTGTGATGTGACATGATTGGTAATAAGCGAATACCCTGATCGGACCCCCGCGACAACCAACAGACTTCAACAAAGCGAGGTACGAGCTCGAAATTTGTTGAAGCGTCTGTCTACGAGAGACTAGCTAAATGCTGCAGGGGGTTGGGTTGGTTACGGGCGTCAACTTGTAATGACATACTGTATTATTACATTCAATTCGACCATCACGCCTCACCCCCTGGTTGATGGTGAATATTGGTGTTTCATCACATGTCACCCACCCCTTGGTCGAATGTAATTTTCGTCACGCAGGTGTCAAAACTGCTCAAAATCTCCTCCGTGGCGCATAAATTTGAAAATTTTCGTTCTGATGGTCAAAAAGTTTGGTTCTGTCACGCGAAATTTCGGCCCTGGTTGAATGGTAATTCGGGTCACGCATCACACCCCCGGTCGAATTGAATGTAATTATACAGTACAGCAAAGAGCTCACCAACTGGAAAAGGGCGCATGAGCGCACAGGGAGATAAGTTATATAAAGATAAGTATTAGGCGCCGTCAAGGAAGCGCGCATATTCGTATCCCATCATTGATCCGACGGCATGCTAACTTTCCGGATTTCTCCGCAGGCTTCCTCCTCTTGCTTCCTGCCTAGTTTTCGCCCGTTCGGTATTTCCACGCTAAGCTTTCGCCTCGTATTTCTGCCGCACTCACTGCATTCAGACCTGAATTTGAACTCGCCCGGCATACGGCTTGGCACCTCCTTCAGAACAAGGCACGAGAGATGGAGTTTGTCAAGAGAGACTAGTTGCCGCTAGTGCTGGCCAAAAATATAATATGGTTGAATATATTTTGAGTATATTCAGTTTAATATGGATATAATATGGCTCTGAGACTCTCCTCAAAATATGAATATGAGTGAATACTCGGGGTGAGTGATAATCCTTTGCTATACAAGCCCCGTGTGCACGATACACCATACTGCTTCCTTTCCTCGTTTCGAGCTCAATGAAGTTGCGAGCCTTGCGTGAACTATGGGGGCGGAAAAAATAGCCACAGAGTGAGAAACCACGGCAGCACCTTGATTCGAACAAGGACCTCAGGGTACGGACTAGAAATTCTAGGTTGTACAGAATCCCCGTGTGCTCACAATACACTATACTGCTCTAATTACCCAGATTCACGGCTGGTGGAATGCGAGGACAATTTGTGTGCCAAGAGAGAGAGAGAGAGAGAGAGAGAAAACAACGAGGCCCACCGGCCAGCCTAGAGCATCATCTTGAATCGAAAAAGGACCTCTGGGTGTAGAGTGCAGTGTTTGTGTCATACAGAATCCCAGTGTGCAAGATACACCATACTGCTTTACTTACCGTGTTTCTGGCTTGGTGGAATGCTAAAGGATTTTGTGCGGAGCGGTACAAAGGAAGAGGACCCGGTAGAGCAGCCCTTGCGTCAAACAAGGCCCTTCGGGCGTATTTTCCGAAGCTTTAAGGGTCCTGCATGCACACACAATACTTTCATTATCCTGTTCACGGGGCAGGTGCCCGAGAATTTAGTGCACCGGGGAAAAAGATGGAAGAACTCAAGGGACAGACAGCAGCACCTTGAGTCAAACAAGGGCCTCGGGGATAGCTTCTATGCGGAGGAATTATGAGAACCCCGTGTGCACGATGCACCATACTGCTTGATATACCCTGATTTGCGGTTGGTTGGGTGCTACAGGATTTGAGTGCGCAGAGAAAAATAGACAGAGATTCAATCGCTAGAGCAGCACCTTGATTCGAACAAGGACTTTCAGGGCTGATTCGCACAGCGACTATGGGAACCCCGGGTGCGCAATACACCATACTGCTTTAAATTTTCTGTTTGTCGCTTGGTGGAATGCTACCGGAATTGTGCGCAGAGGGATAGATAAAGGAGAGAAAACTGAGCCCCAAATTTTTAGCGCAGGCTTCGCAGCACCTTGATTCGAACAGGGACCGCGGGAATGTAGGCAAGCTGGAGTGCCAATCCAGTAATTGACTCACGATACACCATACTGTTTGATTTCCCTCGTTCGGAGCCTATTGGAGCATGTGAAAACTGTGTGGGTGGAGGGAGAAAACAAAACTGGTCACCAGAACCATAGAGCAGTACCTTGAGTCGAACAAGGACCTCGGTGATAATCCTGTTTGCCCAGATCATGTGAGCCCTGTATGCGCAATACACCATACTGCTTGAATTACCGTGTTTCTCACTTGGAGAAATGCTCCACATTCGCAGGTCGTTTGAGGGAAAGAAAAAGGCACTACAGTGTGGCTACAGCAGCACCTTGAGTTGAACAAGGACCTCGGTGGATAATATTATATTGCGGCGAGCGAATTATGTGAACCCAATGTGATACACCATACTGCTTTAATTACCGTATTTCTCACTTGGAGAAATGTTCCACATTCGCCGATCATTTGAGGGAAAGAAAAAACCGACCATGACAAAGTATGGATACAGCAGTACCTTGAGTCGAAAAAGGACCTCAGGAATGCACAAGAGAGTTAATTGAACCTCGTCTGCATGGTACACCATACTGCTTGATATTCCCTGCTTCGGGGTGGGAGGAATGCTAGAGAATTTTTGTGCGCTGAAGTAAAAAAATCTGAACGCGCCCTATGGCTGCACCTTGAATCGGACAAAGACCTAATGGACATTTTATCTGATACAAAATCCCCGTGTGCTCCATACACCATACCGCCTTATTTCCCTCGTTCGGAGCCTATTGGAGCATGTGAGAATTTTGTAATTGGAGGGAGAAACAAAAACTGTTCACAACCAGAACGACAACAGCGGTACCTTGAGTCGAACAAGGACCTCGGGAATGAATTGAGTGGTGCTTCAAAAATTGACCCCGTGTGCGCAATACACCATACTGCTTTAATTACCGTGTTTCTCGCCTGGTGGAATGCTAGAGGATTTATGTGTTGAGAGGCAAAACAGAAGAGGACTCGGTATCAGGTCCTTGCAATGAACAAAGACTTTGGGGTGTACTGTCCGGGCAGGCTTACAGCTCTTTCCGAAAACATTGAGACGTGTGGATTTATTTTGCCAGCGCCGAAAATTTTGATCGATGCTAAGGATTACCTGTTTGGGTGTTGCCGAGCCTACCCGAGCCTGAATTTATCAGTCCGTTTAGTTTGCCTGGCCGTCCTTCACACCAATAGATGCGGCTGCGCTCAGCTCATTTTCAACTGGACTTTTCTGGGCAGACTGCATCGTGTGTGGACGTCGCAGGATTTTTGGCCCCTGGCAGATGTCTAAATATAGCTGATCCGAGGCCAGATCTAGCAGCCATCAAAAATTCAGCGCTGGCAAAATAAATGCGCGCGTCTCAATGTTTTCGGAAAGAGCTGTAAACAGTCCCATGCACACACAGTACTGCTTTCATTATCCTGTTCATGGGTGGTCACGTCTCCGCTGCCGCCGCCTCCGCCGACGACGACCCCCGACGTCCTCGTGAAAATCCACATAAATCGAATAAACTAGCAGGCTTCTGTTCCCCATAACGACAGATAACGACCGACCGCTTGCTATCACAATCTTGCGCCGCTTCATGCCAGCGCCAAGAGGTAGCAGATCGTGGAATCGGGCACACTGATCATCACACGTAAGGGACCCCCCCCCCCCCCAAATGCGGAAGTCCCATCATTCGCGCGCCTCAACAGAGCCGCGCGTTCCTTGACTCTTCGACCGCAGTAGAGCCTCTAGCAGCCCTACCATTGTGTCAGAGACTCCTCCCAAGCTCAATGAGCCCTTACTTTCGCCACCTTTGAACACTTGCACTGTGCAAATGAAAATATCTGCTGACGCAGATACCAAATGAGGCGAAACACGTGACTTTGTTACGTATGTTGATCAGTGTGCGGAATTCAAGGATCTGCTCTTGGGCGAAAGTAAGGGCTCGTTGAGCTTGGGAGGAGTCTCTGACATGACGGTAGGGCTGCTAGAGGCTCTACTGCGGTCGAAGAGTCGAGGAACGCGCGGCTCTGTTGAGACGCGCGAATGATGGGACTTCCGCATTTGGGGGGGGGAGGGTCCCTTACGTGTGATGATCAGTGTGCCCGATTCCACGATCTGCTACCTCTTGGCCAGCGCGAACAGCAGCAGCACCAACACCGACTTTAGCTTCACGTCCTTCGGCGCGCTGCTGCTGCCCACGGGCACTGGCGAGCCCAGCGGAGCTGGCGGCGGGCCCAGCAGGTCCGCGAAGCTCTACCGTGCGTCTCCACTTCCCTCCCCCTTTCCTCGCTATATATCTGAATAATAATAATACTAATACACGTTTTCGCACTCTACACCTTCCTCGCGACACTGATCCTGCTCGTCGGCGTCTCCTCCGTGATCGCCGTGCGCTCGCTGCTGCTAAGAAGGCGCCACCACTGCATAGTCAAGGCCGCGATCGCGAACGGGATGTGGGTCCCGCGAGGCGTATCTGGCGCCGCTGGAGGGGGGTGGTGGTGTTGGAGCGGGGGGGAGGACAAATGGGAGGCGATTATGGTGTGTGGTTTCTATTTTTCTTTCCCCGCTCCTCCGCCTTCTTTCTCTATCGTACTTCTTGCTTTCATCCACCCTCGCGCTCGTGCACCCAGCACCTGCTGCTGTATCTCCCGCACTCGGTTAACATCCACCCATTCCCCTCCGCATGCATGTGGCCTTATCACCCATTATACCCGTATTCCTCCCATCCTCCGCGTCTACGCTGCGCAATCCAGCGCCTACCCTACCCCCGCCCGCATTTTATTCACTCCCCGCACCATCCATATATATACATCCACCCGATTCACTCAAGCATCATGCATCCCCGGTACCCCGCCGTTCCGTCGCCCTCCCGCGAGCATGGTTCTGTTCATGCCCTATCATCATCGTCATTCTTTCCCTATGGTCATGCACCTTTTCCTTTATCCATTTCATCAATCGCTACAAAATGTCCCGTGCTTTCTTTCCTTCCTTCGGTGCATCGTTTCTCCTCCATCTTCGTCCATCATAAAAGACAGAGATCCTTTCTCAGCGAACGCGCAAGGAGAACGACGCTAATATTAAGTACCTAAAAGACAGAGATCCTTCTGGAGAATTGTAAGTAAGGTACAGATGAATAAAGTAAACCAGCACTCACTCTCAGCGAACGCGTAAGGAGAACGACGGCGGACGCTGAGAGTGTGACATGTAACGACTGGAGTAAATAAGGCAAGGTAAATCTGCGCTCGTGGGCCTAGGGAGAAGAGCAGGAGGAGGAGCTGGTGCGGAGTCGTGCTGTGCATGAAATGGAGAGAGGTGAACGTCGAGTGGATAGCTAGTTTGGTGGGTGTGCGGGGGGAGCGGCCGTCCCGGCCGAGGGGTTTCCGGCGCGGTGGTGAGGCATGGGAAAACCCGAGTCGGAAGAGATGCGCGGGATGGCTGAACCCGTACACAGGGGCCACTGAGGGTCTGGCTGATCGAGACCCAAAGCGACCACCCAGAGCGAAACTCCAAGAGCCGCAGGCTCGTGCGAGGGCGAAAGAGAAGACGGGCCCGAAGGCCCCCACACAAGAGCAGAGCGGAGGGACAGAAAATACCTGCATAAAGGATCGACATACCAAGATAGAGAGAGACAGATGTCAAAAGGGATTAACATGTGAATGAGCGGGGTGCGGAATAGCGGAACGTGCGAGAACGGTGAGGTGATGGGGATTGCGTCAGATGCAGTACGAGACGCCGAGGGCGGAGGCGCAGAATAACGGAAACAGTGCAGCGGATCGCGGAGGGAGGGTGCAAGGGATCCCACTGAAGGTGAGGATGCCGTGTGTTTGCGAAGGCGACAGAGAGAGTAAAGGGGTAAAAAAAGAATAAAATAAAGACCCAACGGGAAAGCGGATGTCCGCATATCCGAGCTGCTGCAAGTTGAAGACAGCAGTTCAATTGCGACGGCCTCGGGCCGCTGGCAGCATATATTGACACTGGGGTGTTTCTACCTGAGCTGCATAGTGTATCAACGCGAGCCAATAACAACGGTGACACTGCAGGAGAGGTGCTGGCATCGACGTAGAAGCCCAGATTATGAAGCGGAGGGCTGCCGGTAGTAGAGGGGATCCGAAAATTAGGCCCGCCACCACGAGAGCGTGTGGCGTCCCGAGTTCGACAACCATGGAAGTTTGAACGTATCACCCTTGAATGGCAACATGACGTTCGAGAGCAGAGAGAGGTGCGAGTCGCGAGAGACAAAAACAAGGTGACGAACCGAGCCGTAGATAACATTTAGATCGAGGAGGGAGAAGTTGCGTGAAAGACGCAAAGTGCTTCAATAACCACGGTGTGCACTGTCTCGCAGTTGGAGGACACTTGCACCAAAGGTCCAGACAGAGGAGGGTCAATTTCCGGGGCGAGAGGATGAAGAGCGCTGTGCGGCGAGAGGCCTGCACTTGATGTAGTTAGAGTATGGCGGTGAAACAATGCTGGCCAGGGGGCTGGTGCAGGCGTATCCGGGGTTTTAATACATCAGATGGTTCTAGCCAGAGGCGGGACGCGATTAATCAAGGCCTCTGATGAGAGGAGCTCGCGATGTATCGGCTTAGAAGACTTGCCTTTTTGGAGTCGCTCGGCTCACGCCCGCTGCCACATCAGCGGTGGCGTTGCCCCGCCATTTCCGACGTCGGGGCGCTGGCGGGCGGCGGCATGCGCG